CAGCATCTGCTGGGTTTGGGCTGGCTTAGTTCCCTCAGGTGTCCCCGATGACAGTTTTGGGGCAGTTTCCGCACTGGGTGCTGGCGTTCGTTCGTCGGTGTCAGCTTGCAGGCCAGCCCGGCCGTCGCAGCGCTGCGGGCGGCGAGGCTGTGAGGCAAGCAGGCCCCGAGAGCTACGTTAACTCAGCGAGAACTCGCAGAGGTTCCCGGAGCGCCGATGGCACGCACGCTTCTGCCCACCGCGCGGACAGAGGAAGCTAAACGAGCAGGGCTGAGCCAGCGAGGCACGGCTCGCTGCTCCGACAGAGCACAGACCACGGGCCTTGGCCCTCCTCCGGGCACCGGGAGATGTTACTCACCCCTCAAGCGTAGAGGAGCTGAACCAAAGGGGAAGCAAGTAGTTGTAGCTGGTTACAAAGGCATAAATAGGAAGAGAATCCAGACTTCCTGAATTCCAGGCAGTGCTCTAACCCCAAAGAGCATAATTAAATATTTAAAATAACCAAACAAACCTCTTCTGCCTAGCTGCCTTCCTTAGCTCTTTACACCCGTCTTCTTGTTGCCAGTTTGGTCTGACAGTGATGGTGCCAAGCGCTCAGCACCTTTCACAGCCAGGCCTCCATTAGAAATAAGGAAAGGATTAGGGAGGACGGTCTGTCTTCTTAAATAAAGAAATAAAATTTAGAAAGCGTTAAGAATTACATTAGCCCTCTGCTAATTATTATTATTTACACCAATTAAAATTAGCGGATGTCATCGGGAATCGAATAGCTGACTGCTACGCGAAGTAGGCCCAGAGAAAGAGCCCAGCACATACACATAATAGCAAGTTGATGTTCAGGACGTGTTTCACCAGCGGTTTCTCCTCCAGGGAAGCCATGGGAAGCGGCTCGAGTTTAGTCGGCGCCGCATTCTTGGCATTTTCCTCTTTGCGCTCCATCCCGCAGAGCCACAGAAAGGCGGTCATCAGCTTCGAGTTCCCTTCAGCGGTGGTCGTACCTACAAAGACAGTCGATAGTGAGGTACAAATGTCACCAAAAAAACAAATCCCAGGAATGTATCAGAATGGTCCTGTACAAAGGGTTTTGATGCAAAAACGCACCAGGGTTCTTTAAATGAATACACTAGCTACGCTGAGGTGTAGGAAGCCCTTCAGTTAGCATCTTTTGGGGCTGTAGTAGCAATTTAATTCTTCCCTGGAGCTCTGAGCTCAAGTTCTGCTGTTCCCAACATTTTAGGAAGTGGTAACAATAGACCAAACCTGAAAGCTGAGCTGTAGCTGCTCAGTGCCCATCAGCTTCCTCTTGCAAGTGCATACGCTGGTCCATTTAGGGTTATTCCACGCCACACACGTGTAAACTGAATTTTCCCAGCTCTGGTGTGGGCTAGGGCATACATGACTAAGTGCCGGGAAGACAGCGCTCATGCACAACAAACGTGAGACTTCCCAGCAGCTGGGAGATCTGCGCCGTAACTCATTAACTTACTGGTCTTTTCAACAGCTTTTTATAGATCAAAGGAATTCACAGCAAAAGCTGCAAAGTTACATAAACAGTGTCCCAAGCCTGGCAAAAACAAGTGGTGATAATCATCGCTGGAAAATGCAGAATGAGTTGCTATGCATGTTTGTACCTAATACCGACAAGTACAAGTTTTAAAAAATGTAAATCCTCCTTCACTGATCTGTCAAGAACTCCGCCCAGGGCTCTGGGTTCTCCCTGCTGCTAGAGTCGATCAGAAAACATCACTGAAAAACAGAAATGGAATTTCATGAAAATAATTGTGTTTTTCCTCCACCCTCCCCTTTTCAACCAGTTCTCCTTGCAGCAGGTGCAAGCAGCACCCGTCGCTAGTGCAGGATAATGGGCATGGCTTTCTGTATCCCCTCCAGCTCCTTCTTGATTTCAAGCATATGTAATGCCATCAAGAGATGGAAAAGAAACTAGACTTCTGCTTAGGTAAAACTGTCAGGTAAAAACCTTTTAGCATGCCCTGAAGTTACAGAAATCCAGAGGAAGTAGTTTTAACGTTTCTTGTCTTCAAAGCCTTTACATAATGCCTAGGGTTGTTAAGTGTAGGTATTACTGAATACGATGTTGGAGCACTTACATTTATTATCATTTGAACTATTTTCAGAAGCAATGCTTATATCAATCTGGAGAGCGGGACGCTCAGCTTCACACACTCCTTTTGCAGCATCAGGGGAAGGGCTGACTGCTAGGTCTTTCTTGACTGGTGGATCCCCACGTGTGAACCAGGTAAGCCGACTTATCTGATGGCATGAAGAGTGGTGTTAAAGAAAACTGCTGTCATGGTTGTTTAAAGGACTACCTTAGCAGTAGAGCAGCCTGCAGAGAGAATACTTAGAGGGGCCGAAATCTGTTCTCCTGCTCTGTTGGAGCAGGTGAACAGCCAAGGGCTCAGCTGGTAACTACAGAAGCGATAGCTACCATCAGCATGTTGGGTTTAGTTTTGTCTGGAACACAACAGCTGTTTGTACAGCTATGCTCTCTGAAGGAGGCATTCTTCGCTCTCTTTTACTGAGGAGGAGACGTTTCTGCACGGGACCATCACTGGACGCAGGCTGAGAGCGGGTCAGTGAAGGGAGCAAAAAGAAAGGAAACTGTAGCCAGGGAGGAATGATTCAAAGAGCTGGGGTTGCTGAGAGAAGAGAAGGCAGGTGGGAGATATGATAATTTTCTTCAAATATGTAAAAGGCTCATTAAAGAGGAATGTTCTCAATATCAACGATAGGGCGGACAGAAAGGGATGAGCACAACATGAAGCTGGAAAGATTCAGGTTGGAGATGAGGAAAAACTGCTCCTGGGAGGGCAGGTGAGCCCTTGAATTGATCACACACCTCCCTGGGCATTCTCACTCTCTGGGGATTTCTGAGAATAAGTTCACCAGGTCTTTCAGAAATGTGTCGGGTTAGTCCTGTCTTGCAGCAAGAGGATGCGTTGGCTGTGTGATTTCTGAAGGTCCCTCTGGCCCTCCTTTCTGCTATTGATGTTTTTCTGTAGCCTCAGTATAGCTATTGAAAATAGTCAAACTGGCACAAACCTGTTCCAGAGGAAGTGTGCTCTCTGCCCTTGATTTCTCTTTTCTGCGAGTAAAAATGGTTCCTCACTAAATTAGTAAGAGAGTTGATAAAGATGACCCAGAAGCTGGAATTTCTTGGAAAATAGAGGGAAAAAGCTAATTTGTCATGGATTAAGCACACATGTTTGAACTTAAGAACAACTCTTTGTAGCATCTACTGTTGACCAGTTTCCAGGGTGGGACTCGGCATTTATGGGACCAAAATTTTAAATGGCAGCAAGGTGCTGGAGCACAGGAGGGATTGCTGCTATGGGTTATTGCAAGTGTGATCATAAATAAAGAATGAATGGAAACTTCCATTTCCCAATTATTTATCCCCACATCATTCCCCTGGACGTAATGTGGAGCATCCTGGAAACCATTTACAAATAGCAAAAGAAATCTGAAGGGGTGACGCACCATTTCTGCCGAGGGCGGTTCTGTGAGCATGCTCACGACCAGCACAGTGAGCGTGGAGATCGCGGCCAGGACCATGGAGAAGTAGAGGTAGTGCATGTACTTCACCACGCTTGGTCGGACGTCGATCTCGCCGCACTGGGGCTCTGGGTAGATGAAGTCCAGCACCAGCCGAATGACGCCCAGCATCAGCCCAATCACCAGGCCCCAGAACGCGCCCTGGGAAAGGACAGATATTCTTTAATGGAGCAAGAAGCATGCATCCACCCAGGATCCAGGGCTATACCCACATTCTCAGGCTACAAACTGGCCAAATTTTCTCCTTGCTGGTTTTTGGTGGGCTTCTTTTCCTCCCTTTTCTGCTCTTGCTATCTAGGTCTGCCAGTGCTATTACAGTAGCCTGGTACTGCTCTTCTGTGGGATCGAGTGGGTCATTCATTTTGGTATGGAGGGGTGTGCCAGAATACTTTGAAGAGTGATATTTGTATCCTGATGGTTGCCTTAACCCTGGGGGGCTGACAGCTGCTCTCCGCCTAACCAAAGCCCAGTTTGGGAAGACTTTACCCTTTAGCCAGCACCAGTCTTTGTCGAGAAACCAGAGGTTTAGGACTCCCGATGCCATTTCGTCTGGCTCCTTTGCTCTCTGGGCTTGCTGTGCCTTCTGTAGCCCCCCTGATGCAGATAATACAAGTCCATGTAATAAATAAGCTGATGGCTAATAAGCCCCTGACAGGCTTCAAGATTTGTAAAGGACACCCTGCAACTGAGCCATGCAGTCGTCTCACTCCTTCTGAAATGCCAGTGAACTCTTTGAAAAACAGCAGGAACTGCTCCCTCCTGTATTGGTGATGGTTGCTTGGGTTGTGCAGAGGTCTGGGTGCATTCGTTCTCCCAAACACTACAAGAGGCAGCAGAACTGCAGCCTGGGGTGTTGGTTTGAACTGCAGGACCCTCCTGAGGACAGTGAGGCCACAGAGGCAACTGTGCTGAGCACAGCGGAGCTGTTACCTTTTCATTTGCTCTTTTCCAGAAGCAACCCATGATAAACACCATTGCCACCGGAGGCTGCAGGTAGGAGCTGATTGACTGGATGTAAATAAAGAGCTGCCCTCCCTGGCCAGCCTGTACCAGTGGGATCCAAAGGATGGAGACCACAGTGAGCAGCAGCACAAAGACCCTGTGCAAGAAAAAGATGCCATTACTGTTAGCTCAGGCCGTTCTTTTCCAGTTGCTCAGCTTTCAAGACTCTGACTGAGTTCTGACATAACTGTAAGGCCTCAGCTCTAGTCCTCCACCAAACCTGTGCCATATGAAGATACTACATCTGTACAGGGGCAGCAGACTGCAAGGTGTGCCGAGATGTGCCTCGAATGCTCAGGCTCTGATATAACATGCTTGTCCTCGTTCTCCATACCTGCCAACGATCATGAGTTCCCACTCAGAGCAACGAGGACGGAAGTGTTTCCAGAGGTCCATGGTGAAAATGGTGCTGGCACTATTAAAGATGGAAGTCAGGGAGGACATGAGAGCTGCTATCATCACTGACATCATCAGGCCCCTGAGTCCTGGAAACAGAAGAAGTACAGATGCCCTGAGGAATCCCCAATAACCCCACTGCAGGATGTCCTCAAATTTTTCTTTGAACTAGAACAGATTTTTTAAAATGGTTTTAGCCCCAATTTTAAAATGGCAGTGATAGGGAGCTATTAACAGTTGATTCTCATTGTTCAACATCTGCACTTTATCTGTTATCCAAATTTGACTGAATTAGACCTCTGGATACTGAGTCATCACTCATCTGTCCTGCTGCATGCTGTCCCTTACCACTGTCTCACCAAGCCCAACATAAACCCCACTGAAATTATAATTGCAGGGTATTTTCCTCTCTGAACTTCTCTCACGGACGCCTTTTGGCTGGTGCGTACTGTCTCCACCAGTGCCAGCACCATTACTGAGCTCCTTACCTACAGGCAGAAGTTCAATGACCAGCTTAGGATAAGCAATATCGGAACAGCCAGATGGGTTGCCACAGATTTTTCGGCAAACTTCCGCATCTGCACAAGCCACCAGATCTAAAATACACAAGAGGGAGTGAGAGGCAGTATTCCATAGCCACAGTAAACAAATATATCTAAACAAGTTAGTCTACTGAATGCTGTAAACTGCTTTCCGAGTGAAATACTGGAAAGCTTGGAAAACTTCCAGCAAATAACAGAGGACTATCTCAACACAGCGAGAAAGGGCAGCACTGGGCTTCCCTGTTTTCCCTTTTTTTCCTTCCATGCAAAAGATACAATCAGTGTAGGCAGCTGTCCTGCCTGGGTGTCCAATGCTCCTCTAGGAATGTTGCTCACTCGGGGACTGAGGCTATCTATCCACCCACAGGCACAGCTCCTCACGGACAAGCACATCCACGCATTCCCACCCGGTGAGCAGTTTACGACACTCAAAGTGGTATGTTAGGATTTCTGTGAGTGCCTCAAACTTAAATTGCAGGAGGAGTACCATGCTGGGTGCAGGAGGGCCCTAAGTGCACAATCGAAATACAGAGCTGCTGAGCCGCAAGCTCAGCTCAGCTCAGCTGTCGACGGCCGACTGCGCTAGCGCACGGAGCAGCGCGTTGTGCCCTGTGTGCCTGGGGTCTGCTGTACAAGGATGTGCATTCTCCAGCGTGTAACTGGAAGAAAATTTCTTCGTACGTTTGGCATTTGATGCATTGCAACCTTTTAATTTATTTGGTAAAGGCTGTTCTGGCCCCATGGAGTGGGCACAACCAGTAGTGACAGAGAAAGCAGGTCTCTCCTTCAGCACTTACCTGGGAAGAGAATTCGGCTGATCATGCCTGGCATTACCATCATAAAGAGGGGCAAAATTTTCAAGTAGGAGGTCATCAAGGAGCCTCCTTTGGCATGAGAGAGGTTTTTAGCAGCAAGGGACCTCTGAACGATGACCTAGAAATAAAGAAATGTGTTTGGCCCACTGTCAGCAGAGAGGAGCTAGCTGTAGATGATGTGATACCGATTGCATTCATGTGTATAGTTTGATCTCCTCTAAACTATTGAAACCGTAGAAGGGTGAACCCAGAGCTTGGCTGTAGCTTTATAAATCTTGCTTCACATCTGGAGTACCTTACAGAAATGCAGACCTGGAAGGCACTGCTTGTGTCCTCAAATCTGAGCCTTGCTTCTGCAGTGTACCGTGCTGCATAATCTGTTCCTTCCCTAATCATACTCAGGCTTAGAATTTCCTTTTCTTCTTCTTTTGTTGGAGACTTCCCTGACCCAATGGCTAAGCCTGGCCGGGTCAGCAGCCCTCCTCTCAAAGCAGGACAGAGTCTGAAATGAGCAAAATGAGTTAAATAAAAGAGTGCTACAGGAACATCAGGAGGTTGCTTAGGGCTTCAGTCTTGCTGGCTCTGGTGTTGTCCCTAAGAGGGATGGTAGTCAGACCTCTGGAAAGTTGAAAGTGGTTCACAAGAAGTGAAAGGCTTAAGTTAAAAAACCAAACCAAAACAAAACAAAAACAACTGAAAAACCTCTTTATAGACTGGGATTAACTCACAAACACATTCTTACCCCTTTTTACATTGAAGTGATTCCCAAAATTTAGCTGTGCATACCAAGTTTTTCATCTTTAGGATTGAAGCCATCAGATTTTACTAAGTTCTCATCAGAAATAGTAAACCAGTCCAGGCTACGTTGCAAACCCTAGGTTTGTGATCTCAAACAACCAATAGCATCTTCTTGAAACCAAAGAAAGAAATAAGCAGTAACCCACCTGATCCGTACACCAGTACCACAGGGAAGGGATGGTCATTCCCACCAAAACTCCTGGCCAGGGAAGATCAGAGTTAACAGGGTCTCGGAAAATGTGAAAAGCATCTTCTCTTGGCAAGCCGCAGCTACTGTTTTCCTTGCGAGTGCTGGGAATGGCATCAAAGTATTTTGTCTGCAAACCTTCAAGACCGCCAACTTCAACAAAGCCTAAAATAGGTCATGAGAAGCAGTTATCACATCTTCCCGGGGCGGTACTCTGATTTTCAACCTCTGTAGTTTGCTATGGGTGGTGCTCCACAAGTATTCTTTAAAAATCAGAAGCTATTGACTCTAACATTGGGCTGAGGGATAGCACAGCACCAAACCCGCTGGGTAGGGAAGGTGCTTGTTCACCTGTAATACTGCTTCAGAGCGTATTTCTTTAGAGGTTTTTCGGGGAGTACTCATGCATTTTTACCACATAAAGAACTACTGTTAGATTATTTGTACAAGCGTACATTCCAGCAGGAGAATATATAGAAAGCAGTTCCCAGAACATCCATTGAGTAATCAGTTGTGATGATCCAGCTTGTTTGTAGTACTTGGTAAAGCTTCTATCATGGTTTTGGTAATAAAGCCCCAGGGAAACACTCACTGAAGACCATGAGAGTCACAGCCCCAATCAGCATGATGAGCGTTTGCAGAGCGTCTGTGTATATCACAGCTGCCAGGCCACCTAAGAGAGCAGAGAAGCAGCAAACTGTGGGAAGCTGGGTTTGTTCTGCCGTACCATCTCACGCTTTGCAGAAGTTTCTGACAAGCAGCGTAAGCCGAGCCCCGTGCTGGCGTGTTCCCACCGTGGTGGGGGGCAGTTTGGCCAATTCCTGTGCATGACACTTTGGCTGAAATTTCTCATGTTTTGAATCGTAATGAGTCACCATTTTGTCACTAAAAAGCCAAAGTCCAGTATAAGTACTTCTATGGGAAATGCATGGAAAATCTCCAAAACAAAGCCCAAGCTGAATAAGGAGGAGAAGGAAAAAAAAAAAAAAGGAGGGGAGGGATCTTTATGAGCAACATCACTAGGGGTGAGCACTGGGAAAGGCACAACCTTTGTTTGGGATTTGCTGCTTACTCCGTGCATGGCCTTTTTCCATTTGGCCACTCATAAGCCCTGAAAGGGCATCCAAGATTGACAATGCTTTCCGCATTACACGGCTCATTGTTATGTAAATCACTCATACCGCCAAAAGACCCAGCAGAAAAACGTATTGTGCAAATGCCGCAAGCATAGCTTCTCCTTAAAGCAGAACTGCCATGCATCCATATCTGATATGGCCTCGTGAGGGGCGTTCATTTGCTCTTACCTGGTAATTTTTTCTTAACAGGTGAGCTGTCAATTGCTTTTCCCCCTCCCCATTATCCATACTCATGGCAAAACCAGATTGTATGGGAAACACGAGCAGGAGGATGCATGGTGCATTGCGTGAACACACGCAGCTCGCTAAGCAGGATCCATGGTATGGTCTGAAGCAGCCACGTACCCGCAACAGTGTAAACGGCTGTGATTGCCCGCAAGCCGTTGTTCGCCAGAACCCCTGCCACAGCGATGTAGAGGTCCCAGTGTAAGGCTTGCTGAATGAAGAGTGCCCCAGCGTACATATCGACCTAGAGACAAAGGATAGTTACCACGGTTGCAATGATGATACTGCCGAGCCCCTCAAAGCTGGTAGTGCCAGGGAGTGTGAACATTTAGCTGACCAAGCTCTCTCCTGCAGTGGGACCGGTCTGGTTTGTAACTGCTCCGGACTCCCCAGCTCCCCGCAGTGTCAGCGCCACATGGCACATCCCTCTGCAGCCCCAGCTCCTCCCTGCTGTGCATTAGGACCAGGCTCAGCTCAGGAGGTGGATGGTTTGTGATTACCGCTCACGGGGGTGACGGGGGGCGATGATGGAGCCGCCCCGAGAGAGAGGGAGCCTGCACAGCTCCCTGTGGAAAAGGCATTTGGGTGGGGTGAGCTTATCTCTTCCCCGGAGCACCTGCGGTGCAAACCTCCCCGCATGCCTCGGCCTGCCGCCAGCCCCAGCACCGGTTTGCCGTAACGCGAATTCCTCCCTGACGGTGACAGGGAGATAATAAGAAAGAG